ATTAATGATCTCAAATCTTTCCTCCATGCAGAGTTTGAGATTAAAGATCTAGGGGAATTGAGATACTTCCTTGGCATAGAAGTTGCTAGATCCAAGGATGGGATTCTTATCTCCCAGAGGAAGTTTGTTCTTGATTGCTCTCTGAAACAGGGAAGATGGGTGCTAGACCAGTTGCTACTCCTATTGATATGAGTCAAAAACTCTCTGCTTCAGATGGAGCATTGTTAGAAGACAAAGGAGTCTTCCAGAGACTTCTTGGAAAACTTTTGTATCTATGCATGACTCGGCCAGACATTGCATATGCTGTCAGTTGAATCAGCCAATTCATGCATGCTCCCCGAGACACTCATATGGCAGCAACAGAGCGAATCTTTTGTTATTTGAAGGGCTCCCCAGGAAAGGGAATTCTATTTGCCAAGCATGGCCATATGAAACTTGAAGACTATAATGATGTTGACTGGGCTGGAAACATTGATGACAGAAGATCTACTTCTGGGTACTGTAGCTTGGTGGCTGGTAATATTGTTTCTTGGAGAAGCAAGAAACAATTTGTTGTTGCTCGATCTTCAGCAGAAGCCAAATACAGAGCCATGGCACAAGGAGTTTCTGAACTATTGTGGTTAAAATCATTGATGGAGGAACTGGGGATTGAGCATGACAAGCCAATGATGTTATACTGTGATAATCAGGCTGCCATCAACATTGCTCATAACCCAGTACAGCATGACAGAACTAAGCATATTGAAGTAGATAGACACTTCATTTGAAAAAGAGTGGCTTCGGGTGAAGTTTGTCTTCCTTTCATCACCTCTGAATGACAGTTAGCAGAGTTTCTCACTAAGGGCATTCCCAGGGCAAAACTTCAGCATGATACTGACAATCTTGGCATGATTGACATTTATGCTCAGCTTGAGGGGGAGTGTAGAGAAGATGGGCCGAATGGCCCATAGGCTGTTTATCCTTTCTTATTTTTTATGTTCTTTTCTGTAATGGGCCTTATTCTGGGCCTATTCTTTCTATGTTATGTTCTTTTAATTTCTTGCCCAACTAAGGGCCTCTTTGTAAATTATTCAAGTTTAACTTAATAAAACAGTGTTAGGGGGTAAGAGGATAGATTAAGGTTCGAAACTCTCTTTTTCTGAACCCTTATTGCAACCATCTTCTTCTTCATCTTCTCTTCCTTAGAAGAAGAATTTCTGCTGTTTTCTTTTGATTTCTGCATCTATTCTGAACAGTCCTCTATTCTCAAGGACTGTTTTTCTTCTCATCCCTAGCAAATCTGTCAATCTATTACTTCTCGGTTTTCAGGATTCCTGTAAGGGAGGCAAAGAAGTTGGAGAGATTAATGAGAAATTTTCTTTTAGAGCCAGGGGAGGAAAAAAAGGATCATATAATAAATTGGGGAATAGTTTGTAGGAGGAAAGAGGAGGGTGGGTTGGGTCTATGGAATTTAGTTTTAAAGAATAAAGCTCTCTTAGGAAAATGGTTGTGGAGGCAGCCTATAGAATGGGAGAGGCAGTGGCCTGAGGTGATAGATAGTATACATGGCAGTTTGGAAAATGGATGGGATGTTGGTGTTTCGCATTGAGCCATGTTGGCAACTCCTTGGAAAGCAATTCGGAGTATCCTCCCTCAATTCCTTAATTTTGTTAGGTATGATGTCAACTCTGATACTTCTGTTTTGTTTTGGGAAGACATCTGGGTGGGCAATTCTGATCTTAAGGACATTTTTCCTTCTCTCTATTCCCTTTCTCTCTACAAGGAAAAAGCTATTTCTCACATTCTTCCAACACCTGTTTCTCCATCCTCTCTAAATTGGGGCTTTGGGTTTCGTAGGGGCTTGAGGGATCATGACCTCTCTTGTGTTTCAGACCTTTTGTCACTACTTGAGAGTGTTTTTCTGGACCCCCTTAGAAAAGGTTGTTAGAATGCTCGAGTCAGGGGTATTTTGGTCATTTTGGTGTATCTTATTGAAAGTGAAATGTCTATTGTATCTGAGTTTAAGTTATGTGTCCCATCTTCTATGAGGGACAAAATTGTCTTTCTTGTAACT